GATATCCGATCCAGTAATTTGGGTCAGTATCGGACCGATACCGATACGTAATATCGGATCGGTCCATCTCTAGTACAAACCACTGACATCTAGACAAGGAAGCTTATCTTACCATGCATGGAGGGTTTCACCCCAAATCCAACACCCTGAGACTGTACGCGAAGAGGAAGGAAGGAGGCAGGGGACTAGTGAGTGTAAGAACCACTGTCCAGGATGAAACAACAAAGATCCCCAAGTACATCAAGAAACAGGAAAATGGCCACAACTGATAGTGAACAGCTCAGGCAGCAGAAATCACAGAGAGAAGAGAAGCAAGAAAAAGAACCATCATGGATGACAGGCTTGTGCATGGCATGCCCCGCTGGCAGATAGAAGAAGTGCGGATACCAAGAAATCCTACCAGTGGCTGGACAGAGCTGGACTGAAAGACAGCACAGAGGGACTTATCATGGCAGCACAGGCAAACGTTTTAAGCACAAGATCCATAGAGACACACCAGGAAAAATCCCAGGTACAGGCTGTGAAAAGATGCCGCTGAATGACTCGAGCAGATCTCAGGAAAAACATGTGAAATCACTGTACAGAAGACCACAATCCTAGGAACAGCAAAGATAGTGTGCAGGACCATCAAGCTCCCAGGCCTCTGGTAGAGGGCCTGCGCTTAAAGGATAAAGACCGCCATGCAGGGAGAGTGCGAAATTATTAGATATGTGTAAGTAAGTATATGTATATACATTTTGTATAGGATTCAAAAATACAGTTTACTAACGGCAGCAGAACGGACACATGCATAGTGCAGTGGTTGGGTGTTGACAGCAGCAGGGAAGTATAACTCTAATGGGCGGAGCCAAATGTAAACAAACATGGGACAAGATCATTGGCCATACACTACGTTTTTCAACTGTATGCTTTCTTGTGAATACAGTCGAATCCTTAACCAAGTTACACTGTGGCAAAAGATATAGTTTTGAAAAACATGGTGAGCTCTAAACTGAAATTCAAGCAGAAGGCATGTTGCTGTTGACTGTGTGCAGCACATAATTCTTCTGATCTAAAATATACTGCTTAAATAGTCTATTTAAGATGTTGTTTTCCAGTGGCACCATAGCAACATCTTGTGATGGGACCACAAAAAAGGTCTGTTAGTTTCTGTGCTGTCTGATGCACTTGAAAAGAATTGGTTATGCTCTGCGCCATCATGGCAGCCAATAGGCACGTTCAGACATGTAGCAAGGGCCACAGCAAGTATACAGACTCAGTTCATTGTGTCTATGCAAAACCTCACAGGTAAACTCCCGAGGGGATGAGACCTCATCCTCTACTTCTTTTGAGTCACATTACCTCGGAACAATTCCCATGATTCCATTACCGAGCTTCCAAATAACATTAATCTACAATAGCAGTAAAAGCAGCATCACCTTTGTGATTCAACTGAGCAGCCCTGCTGTCCAGCATGTCATTTAATCCACCAGAGGTGAACATGACTTTTGACGGCATGGATTTAAAACCACATATAAGAATGACAGGAGAAAGAATATGATTTATAAAGACAATCTGTTGGTCAGTACATTAATAATGTCAGCAGCTGACAGAAGCTGTCATTTCAGAAACAAAGAGCAGGCAGACTGAACACTGACTAGTGAGATATATATATTCACTTACAAATTTAATAATTAGGAATCACCCATTTTTTTTTTTACTGAAGTAGGGAGCAATTAATAGCTTCCTTTTGAATTAAATGATACATCAAATGGCTCCTTTATTGGAAGTGTGACAAAGCAGGACCAAGAAAGCCTGGATAACCAACAATAATATTACTGATAATCACTGCCATCGCACCAATTACCTCTGCTTAGGGTTTTAGGTTTTGTTGAACCCAATAACTCAAAGAAACTCTGGCACATTTGGCACAAAAAACTTTTATTGTAGAAGATTTGAGAATTTATAATGATGCTAAGAAATTTTGGAATAATCCATCAAATACTTTAAGATATTCTTTTTTTAAATAAAGGCAGCCACAAGTGCTCCCCCTCAGCCTCCCAGCAGATGCACCTATGGCAGGGGTGTCGAACTCCAGGCCGCGAGGGCCGGTGTCCTGCAGGTTTTAGATATCACTCCGGGTCAATACACCTGAATCAAATGATTAGTTCATTGCCAGGCCTCTGGAGAACTTCAAGACATGTTGAGGAGGTAATTTAGCCATTTCAATCAGCTGTGTTGGATCACAGACACATCTAAAACCTGCAGGACACCGGCCCTCGAGGCCTGGAGTTTGACATCTGTGACCTATGGTGATTTCCTTCTTGAGTTATAGCATTCACACAATCGTTAGAAAACCTCTGTCCTTGAGTTCGAGTTCGAACTCATCCAAGATTTTTAGCATGCACCTAATGGTACCAATTTTAAAAAAAAATCCTACATAATCTTGTTCTCGAGTTACTGCATTCACAAACTTGGTTGGCCATACCGCCCACCTCGCCACCAGGGATGGATGACAATGTCCCATCAGGTTTTTACAGCTGAAGGGTGAAAACGTTGCAGTGAAACGGCACAATTAAATAAAACAACTGTATACTGCACAATATTTCAGATGATCTTTCCATCTTGCATTTTTGGAATCCAAATACTGTTTAAGGCAATACATATATACATCATCACAACAAACAACAACAAAAAACCAAAACAAAACAGAAACCAGGGTTTTTCCTTTAATTGTTTATCCGTTTCATAACGACTCTGTTGTAGCATGAATGGCTGTGAGAGAGGTCTTAATAAGCAGGAAAAGCTGGCTATCAAGAACACAGTGGAATTACATTTTTCATAGATTTTCAACTGTATGGAAATACAGTTAAAATTCAAAATCCATGCCCCCTTTCACATTTTCCAAAGCTATACAGTGCCCCAGATTGAAGTCTTTGCTGGGTCGATCCCGGGCCGCATGTTTGACACCCCTGCTGTTGGAGGTAGGCATAGTTTTATCAAAGAGAAAACTTTAAGAGAAAATATTTTCTCCACAAGGTAAAAACCAGTAAGTTTTCTTATCTCGTCTCTTTCCATCACTCACCCTGAACCTGCTCTTGTCAGAGGTCTCTTCCTGTTAAAAGGGAGTTCTTTCTTCAATGCCTGCTCGGATTGTTGTGGTCCTTGCTATAATATTGTAGTATTGTATAATATTGTTTAGTGTCGATTTCTCCAATTACATTTGAGACACCAAAAACAGGGGATTCCAAAATAAAGGTTTGTGGATAATGCAAAACATTTAAGAGCTGCGAGTCTCAGGTTTAAGCCAGTATTGATCATATAATGACTGGTGCACACTTGAAAGGAAAATGTCAATACTAATGATTATAAGAAAGGCTCAGAGTCAGAGTTGGAAATTATAAAAAAAGTATTAATATTACTGACATTTTTGAGCTTTTTCATCAGTTGACCCCGTCACATACACACTGAGAGAACAGGTATCACAGCAAACAATTGCTCCTTTGTGCCGTCCTTCCTCCGTTTCCTTTTCACCTTCATCTTGCTGTTTCCTCTGTGGCTCCTCCTCCAGTTCCTCCTCAGTGACACTGAATACTCCTCCACAGCGACAGGAGTGTGTATATAGACCCTGATCTGAAAGAACATACTTTCAAAATTAGAGATGGAAGAAATTTACCAGCTGTAACCAAGTACATCTGGGACAGTACTCGTGAACATATACAGACAGAGCATGAAATGGTAAATAAAAATCGAGAAAACAAAAATAGTGCTGAGCCACCCTCACTTCTACTAAGCCAGAGTAGTTCTTGTAATTTTTTAAAGTGGTATTAAGTAAGAGTCCTTTCTGTAGGTCATTCAAAGTTTTCATTTGGACATTTTTAGTCCACTTATTGTAGCTAATTATTTTCAGGGAACTTTGTTGTTGTTACAGTTGCTGACCTCCAGGGGCTCTCCCCATGTGAGAGAGCTTTTTCTCCTCCTGTGCTCCAGGTCTGCCTCATAAGCAGCAGCTGAGATGTTTTGCAGCTCGTCAGCCACTGTATCTCAAAATGTCGCGCCTTCTTTCCTTCCCTTTTCCCTGGGCTGTGAGCTGCAGTGGTTTGGGCAGCAGATTGTAGCTGTGTCAATTTATGAAACTTGGTGTAACATTGGTTTTTAATATTTGTGAGTAAAGGTTTCCCTTTACAGAGACAATTGTGAACCACAGTGAAAGCACGGAGTGGTTTTCTACCATTTTGTTTCAACCATTTTTCTCATGTTTTGTGGCAAGACGTGGAGCACAGCCATTGTATTTTTTTTTCTTATAGATAGAGTGGTCTTACTTTGTTTTTTTAGCTAGACTGGGCTGTTCTGTTTGTCGTTTTGGCCTTGGAGACCCTGACACTAGGGGTGCAACGATACTCATATTGATATTGAACCGTTCGATACAGTGCTTTCGGTTCGGTACGCATATGTATCGAACAATACAAAATTTTTTATTTATTTTATCAACTTTTCTTCTGTCGATGCTGTCTGTGTTGAGAGCTCAGTGGATCTGCGCTCGACTACTCGGCCTAGGCTGCACTGTCGAG